TGCAATCTTACTCATTTTGCTTTTTGCAATTGTATCAGTTTGGAAAAAATTTTTGTGAATATTAAGAAATACTGTAATTATCTTAGATCAGAAAGTATAATACATACTCCAAGTACCAAAATGCACGCTATTGTGTTGGGATTCAATGTTTCCACATTAATTATGTCATCATTCCTCATGATATAATTAATGTCAAAATATTGAATCCCAACATGATGGCATGCATTTCAATACTTTGAGTATGTATTATACTTTCTTACCTGAGATAAATCAGTGGACCTTTTGGTTATCTTAGATTATCATGAGAAGTCAGTGTGAAAAAGTAAAGATGATAAAGACGGGGTTACTCTACAGCAGTCTTGAGCTGTTTAATGTTTAATGTTTAATAGTCTATGATGCAACTTCCCCCGATGCAAACTATCGGGTCCGCAGACACGACAAGATAACAAATTGCATCAGGCTGCGTCGTACAACGCTGTTTGACTTGGTCTTTAGACATCAGCATACATAAATAATAAGATGCAATTACCGTGAGAGATCTTTGTGAAGAAGTTGATTCTCTTCTTCCAGTGATTTAACTTTTTCTTTTAGTTCACAACTTAAGATTAGAAGACTGTTTTTGGCTTCACTCAAAACTAGCAAATCATTCTCCATCTGGAAAAATATGAAAATATATTTAAAATTAATACATTTTACAAAAAATATGAAAAGGGAAATAAAATGATATCCATATAGAATAAAACAAATAATATAGATATTCTTAGATAATAAAATATTATTTTAATGGACTATTATATTTCTTTATGTCCAAAATTGGTTAACAAATTGTGAGTATTAAATAATTCAAAATTATTTAAACAGGGATAACACATTTTATACAATAATGTACTGCATCCATCAGGGTTCGAACCAAAGATCTTATGGTCGTACTACATAGCAATTATGGAGGTGTTTCTACACACCAAACTTAATATCAATTAAAAAGAAAAACTCTGATTTCAAATAATTCATAAAAGTAAAGTGCCATTAAGTAGTTTATTTATTTTTATTTATTTCCTTCACACCCAACAGCAAGTACACTAGGCACTTTAATACAGGATTCAACGATGCTTTATAAACTAAGTCTCTATGGAGAAGTGGAGTTTTAGTCGTGAGAAAAAGTTCTGCTGTGACCGGAATTGAACCCACGATTCTGGGAATAGAAGGCAAGCATCTCATCCAACAAGCTATTCGACTCAATCCACCATTACTTTACGCAATAGGTCTGTCATTGTTTTGTTGGATTTTGTGTTAATTTTTCTCCATAGTTTTTTTTTTTTTTGTACCTGTTCCTTGTACTCCTCATGTTGCTCCTTTGTAGTTTCTATCCGTTGCTCTGCTGCCATTAATTGCTCCTGCAGTCTTATTCCAACTTCCTGAGAACAAACCAATTAATAAACTCAATGGAGTCCTACATTTTCATTTAATAAGTTCAAAAAATTTTGTTTCACCTAAGCCCACAAAATCATGATAATCTAGTGTGATCTTTGTTCTTAATTAATATCAAAAAAATATATTATTTATATCAAATGTTTCAACCTTTAATAAATTTGATACTTTAACCCTGCATTCTAGTCTTGTTGTTACCATATTACCAACCAAAATTCATGGGATGAGTAATGGTTATCAATGAGCCCTAGAATTAGGCCTAGGACCATTGTAAAGAAAAAAATCCACAAAATGTCGCTGTACATGGGAAACAAAATAATTTTATATTTGGCCTGGCCTAATAATATTTAAAGATAGTAAAAAAAAAATTCACCAAAACAACATCAACAATAACAATGATAATAATAATAATGAGAATAAACTTAATTATTTGAATAAACGGCCTGCTATAAATAAACGCCACACTTAACGCCCTCTCAATTGGAATAAGCGCCTCCCTTGAATAAATGCCGCAGGCATATATTTTCCCTCAAATAAACACAATGCAGTAGAACCCCTCATTTACGTACGGCACGGGCCCAGAGCCGTTCGTAATTGCGGGTATTCGTAAAATCGGGGTTGACCCAAATTCCTATATATTTGCATTGGTACTACTTACACTGGCATGTAAAGACAAGTAAAATCTGCCGCATGCACATGTGTGAAGCCATAAAAAACACTGAATTTGAAGAGGCCTGTTAGAGGGCCTCCTTCACTTGAGAATTACATAGTACTGTATAGTATGGTGTGTTGTGTTGTATGCATGCTAATAACAGTTACAATTCGAGCGGATTTTTTTTTTTATTATTATTTTCGCTTTACTTTTTATGACGTCATCACCTTGATTTTACATTCGTAAAATCGGGAATTTTTTAAATCGGGGTTTGTAATTGAGGGTTTCTAGTGTATATATCTTTCACTCACTCGTTCTTTTTCTACGCTGTCCATGAGTTGCCTGTTCCCCTCAAGTAGGCTGTCGCGCTCGGCCTCTATCTCTGAGGACGTGCTGTACACAGCGTCAAGCTCAAACCTGAGTTGTTCCGTTTCTTGTTGTCGGTCTTGCTGGCATGCCGTGTAGTCTTCCTCCAGTAATTGATATTTGGTAGACAAGGCTTTCAAATTCTCGTTCATCATGTTCTCTGTCCTAGTGTGTGAGGAGAATTAAAACAAAGCATATACTTTACCAACATATCTCTGCCTACCTTAAAGCCCTGTGAAAACATCACATCATGACCACATATAGGCGCATCATGACTATATATGGGCATCGAACAGTTTTTTGTCCAAAAAATTTGATATTCTGGACAAAGCTTTATGGTTAGGGAGGGCGCCCTCACTATTCATCACAATGCATTTACAGTGTACGATTTGTCATGATATAATGAGATTTTTTACAAAGTACTGTATGTAAGTTCAAGTTTGCCAAATCTCTGTTTATATATGTCTCCACTGTTGTTTGAACATGTTAATATTCAAATTATTAATCCTATTAAAAATGTAAACAACTGGAATCTACTCTGTGATTGGCTACAAAAATACGCTCTTTGAATGATTACCGTTCACTTCTTCACCAGCCATTCTTGTGGATTTTAGTTTATTTTGGAAGTTTTGATTCATTTGAATTCTATTTATAATTTAGAACTCACATCTCTAACTTCTCTGTCAACGTAGCAACCTGGTTCACAGCATTGTCTGCTTCTTTCACTGCGTCGTCTGCTCTTGTTACAGCCTCTTCTGCCCTTAAAACCTCATTCTCCAATCTCTTTTCAGAGGAGGTGATGTTTTCGTTCAGAGTCTTGATTTCAGATTCAGCAGTAGTCAGTTGCTGTTGAAGATTGCTGATTGTCTTTTCAGATTCCATGCGCAGTTTTGAAGCTTCCTGTTCATTCTCTTGACTACAAGATAAAAGCATTTTCCATTAAAGTCTGTCCACACTAGTTAAATGTGACAAATGTGTGTAATGTGACAAATGTGTGTGATTTTGCCCCTATATGGGCATAATGACGTCATTATACGTTGTTTGTTCAGATTCTGTGCGCTGTCTTGAAGCTTCCTGTTCGTTCTCATGACTGCAAGACGAAAGTATTTTGCATCAAGTTCTGACCACATTAGTGTAATGTGACAAATGTGTGTGATGTGACAAATGTGTGTGATTTTGCCCTTATATGGGCATGATGACATCATTATATGTAGTTTGTTCAGATTCTGTGCGCTGTCTTGAAGCTTCCTGTTCTTTCTCTTGACTGCAAGACGAAAGCATTTTGCATCAAGTTCTGTCCACATTTAATAGTGTAATGTGACAAATGTGTGTGATGTGACAAATGTGTGTGATGTACCCATATATGGGCATGATGCTGTCATTATATGTTGTTTGTTCAGATTCTGTGCGTTGTCTTGAAGCTTCCTGTTTATTCCCTTGACTACAAGATAAAAGCATTTTTGCATTACACTCTGTCCACACTAGGTTAATGTGACAAATGTGTGATGTGACAAATGTATGTGATGTGCTGAAACATGGGCATCATGATGTCATTATATGTTGTTTGTTCAGATTCCATGCAGTCTTGCAGCTTCCTGCTCATTCTCTTGTCTACAAAATAAAAGCATCTTGCATTACACTCTGTCCACACTAGGTTAATGTGACAAATGTGTGATGTGACAAATGTATGTGATGTGCTGAAACATGGGCATGATGATGTCATTATATGTTGTTTGTTCAGATTCCATGCACTGTCTTGCAGCTTCCTGCTCATTCTCTCGTCTACAAAATAAAAGCATTTTTGCATTACACTCTGTCCACACTAGGTTAATGTGACAAATGTGTGATGTGACAAATGTATGTGATGTGCTGAAACATGGGCATGATGATGTCATTATATGTTGTTTGTTCAGATTCCATGCACTGTCTTGCAGCTTCCTGCTCATTCTCTTGTCTACAAAATAAAAGCATTTTTGCATTACACTCTGTCCACACTAGGTTAATGTGACAAATGTGTGTGATGTGCTCCTTTTATGGTTATGATGATGTCATTTTACAGCCATACATTTTGCATTAAGCACTGTCCACACCAGTTAAATGTGACAAATATGTGTGATGTGCCCATATATTGGCATGATTATGTCATTATATGTTGTTCGTTCAGATTCCATGCGCTTTCTTGAAGCCTACAGTTCATTCCCTTGTCTACAAGACAAAAGCATTTTGCATTACGCTCTATCCACACTAGGTTAATGTGAAAAATGTGTGATTTGCTCTTTTTATGGTTATGATTATGTCATTTTACAGCCATATATGGGCAATTCACATGTTTTTCTTGCATAAAATGATTGTAAATAGAGCTTTAAAGATAACATTTCAATCAAAATGCAAAAAAATAAATAAACTGCAGTATTTTAAAAGTGAAAATTTACCTTAGAGTTTTGAGGAATTCTTTGGCATTCTTCAGGTCTTCTTTAACTTCTGTAATGACGCTTTTTAAATCTGAATTCTCAACAGACAACACCTGCAAACATGTGTTAGTAAATTTAAACCATGAAGTTGTGATTCATTGAAAAACTATACTGTTTGCAATACTTTAGCTCTATTAGAAAAAAAATTTTAAAAATTAAAAAAAGATAAAAACTGGGTAAAATGTGCAGTATAAAATTTAATAATTTTTTGCCAGGAACCCTTTTTTTTTTTGTTGATGTCTCTTTTTTAATTTTTAAATGATTGTATTTTTTTACATTAAGATCTTTTATAATTTTAACAATGATTCTTAATATCTGTTTAACACTGAATATGTATTGCATATCATTATTTTGTGCTTTACTTAATCTTTTATAATTTTAACAATGATTCTTAATATCTGTTTAACACTGAATATGTATTGCATATCATTATTTTGTGCTTTACTTAATACTTTAATATACAGTATTTTAAATTGTACTTGACAATGTGTGCAATCAAACAAAAAATTCCCATTTTAATATACATTTATTTTTTTTTTACGAACAAGTCAATAAATGAACCTTGAATCTCGAAAGTTACTTAAAAGAAACTTACCTGTAACTGTGTGGCTTGTGTTTCGATTGTTTCAGTATGTTTCTGAGCATCAATTGTAAGTTGTTCTGATTCAAATTCATATAATATTAGCAGTAATAAAATTATAACATTATAAATTTAATACTGTATAATACATAATAATGTTAAAATAAATATAAAATATAAAAATAACTTTAAAATACATGCATTTATTATGCACAAAACCTAAGTTGTTTGTAAGTTTTTGAGGAAAAAGAATAAGAAATTTCTTGCATTGTATTCAGTACTTAAACTGACTTACTCAGCATGCCGATATAAATATAGGAAGGTTTATTCAATTATGACCTCTTATGTCATTAGCAGTGATGTAGTATGATAAATCACTACGGAAACAATGCTACTGACAATTGTGTATGTGGTCTCTGCAATTATCTGAAAAATATTACACTAAACAGAGTCCACAAAGAGATATGAAAAAACAAAAGTTTTAAGGAACTATACCTTGAATATCTTTAGTTTCCTGCAGTGCCTGCACCTTGCTGTAGGCTTCTTTTAGGTCTGCCTGTAGGTGGCGCACTTGACCTGTCAACTCATCCTTTAACCTGCTTATTTCCTACAGAGTATAGATAAATAACATTTACTTCACGCTGCTAGAAAAAGCGACAAAAGCAAGTGAAGCTAGGCATACGATATGTTGGCCCACGAATACATCTACACTCTGTTTGAAGTGAATAGCAATTCAAAGCTGTTTGCTGACTGTAGGTGGCAATCTGACTGGATCGTACTTAAAAATTATTGTTCGCAAACGCCTCATTGTGTTTCGCATGGAATGAGGTCAGCAATCTTTCGGTCAGTACAGCTTAACAAATTCATCACGTCTCCTCTTAAACTTGAGTATCTAAATGCAGGTCTCTCTCAAATTTATGACCCCTCCAATTAAAGACCACATACAATTCAAAACCAATTTTCTATGGTCCCATATTAGGAAATGTCTTTTATTTATTGTCATCTATTTTATAGGTCCGGGACCAGCGTTTTTATGGACTTTTATGTGTGTGTTTTGCTCTGCCTAACATGTCATGTTTTTGGTTTTTTTTTTTTCATTTATGTAAGGTAGAGAAATTTAATAAAGAAAGAAATAAATTATTCTAATTAGATACCAAAGCTGCTAAAGACCATGAAAACACCAGTTCCAAGAGTGGTCATTAATTGGAGAAAAGACCTGAATTCAATAGTTTCCTTCAAAAAAAAAAAAAAAACTATGGCTGGTAGAAGCTTATAAGAACCACGCCACATATTTATGAGTTGTAATTAATAAAACTGGTTAGTGATTATCTTCTCTGGCATACCTTATCTTTATGTTTCAATTTATTTGTTGTTTCATGAAGTTGTTTCTGCATTTCCTCCTGCTTCTTATGGACATTGCTTTCCACTGTATCTACCTGAAATGCAAACACCTCAATTTTCAATAAATTGATACTAGGCTCCATCGTTAACTGTAAAACACTATTAGATTGAAGGCTATGTCTGTACTATCAGATTTTTTTGTAACAATTCTAATTTTCCTAATATGGGCATGTTGATGTCATAATCATCCATATTTGGGCCAATCACAGGCATCTGTCACAAAATTTGATAGTGTGGAAAGAGCTTTAAATTAAACAAAAAATAACTGAGACTTTATCTGATGAAAACACACAATTTATTTGATCAGACATCTGAAGCCTACACTATCAGATCAAGTAATTGTGAATAGGTTGTGCAAGAAGTCTGATCAGATTTTACTAGTAAAACACTTGACCTTGAGCACAGCACAGACTACTTTTCCTAAAGCCCTGTCCAGACTATATTTTATTGCCCTGTCCAGACAAATTTTATTTGACAAACACATGTGGCATGCCTAAATATGACAATATATTGGCACATCATGACTATAAATGGGAATACAACAGCTTTGAGTCACATCAAATTTGACAGAGTGAAAAGAGTTTAAGGTATTTTAAAACCAAAAGCCTGAAGAATAGAAAAGTGTTTTTTATCTTGATTTTATATTAAAGTCCAGACTAACACATCTTATTTGACAAAATCATCTGACATGCCTATAAATATGGTCATAATGACATAACATCATGACCATATATAGGCACATGATGACTATATATGGGCATACAATAGTTTTTTGTCAAAGAAAATTTGATAGTGTGGACAAAGATTTAGGTCTCAAGTTAATAAATCTTTCAAGAATCAGGCCATCAAAGCCAGCCTAAGGTACCTTATTCATAAGCACCTCTTTGGCTTTCCTCATACTAGATAGCTGCTTCTCAGCAGTAGCTAGGCCTGCCTCTAGCGCACTTTTGTCCTTCAAGGTGGCTTGTAGTCTGCCGTCAAGCTTTGTCACCTCAGCCTGTTTGCTGTTCAGAAGCTTGTCTTGCTCAGTTCGCTGTTGTAGAAGATGTCTTATCTAAGAACGAAATTTTGTTGGTTTTCTTTATTTATAGTATTTGATTTGATAGTTATGCAAAAATTTAACACAAAGAAACATTACAATAAAGGCAATATTTATATCTTCATCCAATAGACAGTCATGCTTTGATGTAATTACATTCCTAACAAGACTTTGCGATTCACCATGTTGTGATAGTTAAAATGATTGGGCTAAATACCACTTTTGTATTGGATTGGATTTATTCGGTGTAAACACCAAGGATAGCCTACGAAAGTCTAGAAGAAGTGGGGTCCTTCTGGTGGGGATTGGGCAGTACACCGGGAGACTATCCCCTACTCTTTACCGAAGAGTGTACTGCATTCTTTAACGCGCACATGGGCCATAATGCACACAGGACTAACAGCTTAAACGTCTCATCCGAAAGACGGTGCGCTATTGTAACTTGTATTTCAGCCCTCTAGTTGAAACACAAGGAGAGGCAGCAATGGGAATTGAACCGGGAACCTAGAGACCTCCACAGTTCAGCGCACACATAGTGGCTACCACCAGATTAGCCGACTAAGCTAAGCTCCGCTCTCTTTTTTATTACATGTCAACTCCCTGAGTAGAGGTCGTCAGAACACAAATTCTCACTGTGGGAGTTAGGGGAAGAACACAGAAGCAATAATAAGAAGTTTCATTACAGCTGAGGAGAATGATGTTCATGTTGGTGCTTTTAGCGTGACAATATTTTGCTTAAACATTTTTAATGGGGAGGGTTTGTAAAGTTTTCTGGGGGTGGCACCCTATAGATACAGCAATGTCCATAGCATATTACTCTACATACCTCTTTTTGTAAATCTAAAATTTGCCGATTCAGATCAGGATGGCATGGTGTAAAACTCTTTCCTCCTTTCATAGAATTCTACACACAAAAAAAAAAAAAAAATACACAAACTATAGAAAAGTATAGAGATTTGGCAGATTATATTCTTACAGTGGCTATTGTTACAACCAGTCTTAAACTAATTCATAATTCTGATTGGATGTCATTGAATGCACAGGCTTAGGAAATTGATCCAATTAACAATTTCTAACAATAGTCACTGGCGGGGGTCCCAAGATGGAGTAAGCCAGGGAGATCTGGTTGGATGAACTTTCTTAAACACACATAATTTTATTTTTCTGCACATGGTGATATCCATTGGCATTGACTAAGGGGAGACAATTGATAATACAGTATGTGAAAAGAAGCGTCCCCCCTGCGGTGCAGGGGGGACGCTTTGGTTTCCCAATCTCGAGGTCGGTGTTTCAATCCCTAGCTGTGCACACAGGAGTATAAATGGGTACCTGGTGGGGTTGCCTACTACTGCGCCAATATGGCAGCAACACTTAAGCCCGTGGACTCAATGACCAGGTAAAAACTTACAGAGCTTAGTATTAATGAAAGGAAAAGTGCCATACAAACAACAAGTAACAAATAAATACTACATGAAAATATTCTAAATTTGATTATTAAAAGAAAAACAGTGACCATATTATATGTAATTTGATTCATTAATAAATATGTAATGATAAAAATAATTATAGTAATTCCAACTGTTCAAGTTGATATTCAGTATTAAAAGAAAATCACCACGCTTCTGCTAATGAGGTATTACTTACCTTACTTTCAGTATCAAACAACTTTTTGATTGGTGTTTTTTCGAACAGCAAAGAATCCATTGATAATGATGAATGCAATGTGGAGTTGCCATTCTGTGGTTCTGAAGAAATCAATGAGATTACTGGTAAGTCTAGGCTAGGCTAAACTAAAGTAATAATTCAAATTGAATAATAAAAGCCATAGACAAAGACTTAAAAGATCATCCACAGTTTATGTCATTCAAAGGAGACTATGTCTTCTTCGGTTTCACTGGAAAGTCCAATGGCAGTCACAAAAACAATGATTGTGTACTTTGGCTATAATACTACCTTTATTTTAAATACCATATACTCGAGTATAAGACAGGGCTTAAAATAGAAATTTACGATTGAAAAACAGGAGGTCGTCTTAGTCATGTTCGTCTTATGTGCAGATCGTCCGTAACTGCAATGAAGTTACTAAATATTATTGACAGGATGAGTGAACGCAATTACGGAGAAACAGGATTTTGATGAACATTTATAAAACCCATGAAAATTGGTATTATTTGGAAGATTAGCCTTGCATTTGCTGGGTTTTAAGCGAACTAGATGCAGTATCAGGACCATAAAAAAGTAGGAATTCCGACCATAAAAAGTGGGGGGGGGGGGCGGGGGTCACTTATTTGTCATTATTAAACTTTCAGAAATTGGGAACTTGAGCTGGGGCCGATTGGGTCCTGCAGCAGCCGCAACACAGCACCACCTGACTTTACATACAACATGCAAGTTAACAGGTGAACAGATGCACAAATTTTCCTTAACCCACCTACTGTAGATCTTAATGTGAGGATCTTATTCAAGGAGCCCAGTCACTTTACTCCAATTAAAAGCCAATGCTAGCTAGGCTAGGCCAATAAATATTCGCTCATGTCAGTCTACTGCTTTGTTCAATAAAGCTCTCAAGACGCATCTGCTGTCGGCTGCTTTTTCCTAGTTCTCTGGTTTGTTTTGCTTGCTTGCTAATTCTTTTAGTTAAGATACTCCCATTACTTGAGCACCTGTGAGTAATGAATAGGCGGGCTACTGTGCCTTAAATTGCCTGTAAACGGTGCGGTGATGGTGTGGTGTTTCTTTTCTTGTAGCTTTAAGGTTCATGGTAATTTTTTGTTCCTTCCTGTAGTGCTTTGATCACTACTGCAGTGGATTTGTGCGCTTTATAAATCTTATTATTAATATTATTATTATTAATTATTATTAGGCTTGCATTCGGCTCTAGGGTGTAAAGCGTTGCAGACTATCAAATTTTTGTTGCATGATGTGCCTGTATATGATGTCATTATCACTATATTTATGCATATCAAATGTTTTTGTCAAAAAAAAAAATGTGATGGTCTAAACAGGGCTTTCTTGTAGTTTCAACTGTATTTTAATACCTCTGCCAAGGAGGCTACTGTATGTTTTCACATCTGTCTGTCTCTGTTAGCAAGATTATTATAGAATTTATATCTGATGGAAAATAAAACTAACCTTTAGGTACTTTAAATCTGTCAGATTTTTCAAAACTAGCAGCTGCTGCCTTCTGTTGGATCGCAAGATCATATTTTCCAACTGGAGGAGCACATGCTTTAAAAGAAAATATAACATTTAAATCGATGAATATAAATTCAAATTGAAGGTCAGAATAGATACACAGAGTATGCTTGCGTACAGTGCTTGATATGCTGTAGGATTTAAAGGTCAAAATGAATATTCAGCATTAAAAAGGGTGGTTTTGTAAAGCTCAGCTGGGCCGAGCCAGCCATAGCTAGGCCTAGGCCTTTTTTTGTCCAAATGTTTGAGCGTCGATCATTTGGACTGCGACTGTACTACAATACAATACAGGAAGTGTGCAGGCCTACGTAGATAAAGCAGCTTTACTTTTTAAAGGCAGACACATATTTTACCTTGTTTCGCAAACTTATTTTTTTATAAATTGTTAGAAGGGTTATTTTAGCAAATAGTTTTGCCAAAAACATTTAGACAAAGGAGAAAATAAAACTAAAATTTTACTGGTGATATAAGTCAAAAATAAAATTTTACTTATTTTAATACCAGCAATTATTTCAGTCAGTCAGGGTCAACTTATAAACATTGTCATTGCAAGAGGTCTAGGCCTGAATTCGATCCAACTCGGCCACAAGTCAACTCGGCCACAGTCAACTCGGCCACAGTCAACTCGGCCACAAGTTAACTCGGCCACAAGTCAACTCGGCCACAAGTTAACTCGGCCACAAGTCAACTC